ATGGTAATTATTGTGGCAGCCATAACCCTGTGGGACAAGGAATCAGAGAATTAAGGGAAGACTAAAACCTAATTTTTCATCTCCTAGGAACAGAAAAGGGTAAGAGGCACAAGTTTTCCAAAAATCCGCATCTCAGCAAATTTCAAACAATATGATATGATAGAAAAGAAGGGAGAATGTTGTGGCTGAAAAAAACAGTCGAGCTATTAGAGTGAGGTGAAGGGAGGAAGCAGCGAAGAGGAAGGACAGGCTGGGAACCACACCCTCACCTCTGCCCCACCATCTAATTCTTGGTTTGCAACTATTTCACATGATCGAATTTCCTAACCTCTCCATGCATTTATGAAGATTATTAAATATCATGGCCTAGTTTATTAGCACCCCACTCTAACCAACTGAGCTAACTGGCCAAGTGCTCTAATGGTCTATTTTAAAATAAAGAAAATTTTGTTTTCAAAACAACTTTTCCTCTACGTGTCTTACATTTTTGTCTAAGAACCTTGCACTTGTGCCTCTGCATTTCAAATACATGTTGGGCATTTTTTTTCTGCTATTTTTAATCTGCTGGGCATTCTGGATGTTCCTGGTATTTATAGTTGGCTAATTTATTTCCTCATGTAATCTCACCAGAGTTGTGGCATGCAGCATATATTTTGAATCCTGATACCACCCACCTAGAAATTACTTAACAGGTGTCATCCACATTAGTAACTTCATCTTTGGATGAGGTTAAATATAGTGTTGAATAAGCTCCTACAAACTTAGTTCTGTGTTTTCCAGGATGAGTTTGGTCTCAAACTTATTAAGGAAAGATAGCAATAGATAGCAGTTGAAACTTGGAATAAATATGAATCAACCTCTCAATAATCCTGCTAATAAAGACAAGTTCACATTTTTCTTAAATATGTGCCCTTCAGCCAATGATATTTGAAAGAATTTTTGTTGAATTTTCTTTATTTGCTATAAAATACTATAATCAATGTTTTTTCTTTATATTATAAGGTAACCATTAGAGAATGACATGAAAAAGAGCACAGTAATATTATCTAATAGTCTGAAGTCATTATCATATTTATTTGAATTCCTTCCATTTCTACGTAATCCACTAACAAATACCACCTCTTCAAGCAATCATATCCCCTTATGAAAGGAAAGTGTATCCCCATTGTTTTCCAACATTAAATCTTCCACACAGACTTCAAATTTCCTCCTCTGCCACGTCCCTGAGGATCTGGCATGGTCACTTGTCTCCCCATCCCCCTGGATCCTCCCCTCTCCCTATTGCTTCCTCCTTCTCTGCCTACTTCCGCCCTTGCAAAAACTCCCCTCACCTTGACTTCCTCTCAAACTACATATTTTTTTATTCATCCTTCAATAGGAAAGTCCTGGAAAGATCATTCAAGACTCAGTGGATATCTGCACCTCTCAGCTATTCTTGAACACATGACCACTCTACAGAAGATGTTTACATGAAGGTCACTAACACCTGTCTAATTACCAAAACTAACTCTCCTGCCTTCTGGTATACCAACCCATTGACTAGGTAGCATTTGACAGCATCTGCCACATTTTCCTCATCTTACATTGCCCTGTCCCACTGGGTTAGTCAGAGTATGTACTACAGCTTAAGCTACCATAGCTACCCTAAGGATTAACAATCCATATCTGTTGAACCACTCTCTCAGTGATAGGCTCACTTTCTCACCATTCTTTTCACCCTTTTCTGACTCCTTCACCTCTGCTTATCACATACATGTTGGTATTCCTCAGTGTGAGAACCTCAGCTTTCTTCCTTTCTGACTTTACAAAGACCTCCTAGAGATCTCATCCTTGGCCATGGCTTCAACCATTACCTACGCAGTAGGTATATTCTAACCAATACCTTACTTCTGGCCTTTAGAATCACATGCCTAATTGCCTCCAATAACCTCCTACTTGACGTTCCAATGGGTACATCAAATTCTACTTGTCAAAATCTGAAATTGTCCTCTTCCCTTCTTCATCTTTTAGCCTGTTTTCTCCCTCCATAATAATCATCTGGTTTAATGGTAACTATCTACTCATTCAGGCCAAAAAATCGGGGACCACTGCATAGTCCCTATATTTTTCATCTCGCATACCCAACTGAAGGCCAACACTTAAGTATTCTACAATGCCCAGAAAGCACCTGGGGTGATCATTTTTAATATTTACATCAACTCACAACACAGCCCAGCTTTAAAAGTCCTCCAAAGGCTCCTCAATCAACTTAGAGTAACATACAAACTCCTTCCTTTGGTCCTACGTAATCAGGCTTCCGTCGTCCCCTCCAATCACCTCTCACTGTGCTCAAACCACAGTCGTCTTCTGCTTCTGGAACACACCAAGCTCACTTCCTTCACATTCCTTTTGTTCTTCCCTATTAACACTGTTGCTATTATTTATTTGAATATTTGCTCCTCTGATCCTCAATTGTCCCTACACCTGGTACCTTATGTGCTCAGTTAATATTGCCTAAATATGAATAGTTGGCTGTTATTCATCAATATACCATACATTCATACCATGAGAGAACTTCTATTACTAAAGGCTGAAAATAATCCAATAAAGGTTACCAAGTTTGAAATTTAAAAAAGAAAAAAAAGACAATTTGTAACTAGAAACAGTAGCAGACCTAGTTTTACCTTACCTTTTGTTATTAAACATGAACGCCAACCAAAGGCCATGAAAAATCAGATATATAAAAAGCATTGGACAAGTAGTTCTATAAGTAAGGACAGTGCTTGCTGTTACTAACACAGCACTGCTCGGTTGTTACACAATAAAGAAACAGGCAACATCCTGTTTGGAAAAGATGTATGAAATTTATAAGCCTAGTCATGCTATCATAATTCTCTTTCCTCTACTTTCTTGTCTCAGTTAAAATCTGGAATTTTTATTCATTAGTAACATAGTACCGATGCCAATTCTTAAGAACAGAGGCAAAAATAATTCAGCCAAAAAAGTTACATTTGTGTCATATGTATTCTTCTGAATCACCTTATTGAAGGCATGCCAATTTCAGGTTAGAAATTCAACCACAACAAAAAAAAATGAGGTTACAAGTCATTGTGACTCAAAATTCAGTGTAATTCTGACTAAAACTTTTTGGCTGGGAAAAAATCATCACCTATTTTATAACATTTGCATTTCTCAGGTTTTGGGTTTTCTGTTTGTTTGTTTGTTTGTTTGAAATCAGAAGCAGAAATATCAACATAACATGCATACTAGATGTTGCATGACATTTGGGGGCTAATAAGGAACAGGAAGTAATAAAATTAAGAGAGTCTTATACCTATGAGAATATTTTCAGATTTGTAGAATTTTAGGCACAGATGTTTCAGATAAATATCTAAGGACCACATCTCTATCTATAGTTATGAGTTTTGAAGGTTTATTTGTTTATTATCTGTCATGAAGTAATAGCTTGGCTATTTATTGAACTGTAATCAGAATCAAATTGGAATGCCAGCAGAGAACATAAGAGTTTTAGTATCCAACATCTCTTTATGGTTGAAATAATGAAAGTAAAACCAACAGTGTTGGGTTTGAGAAATAACATATGATATTCAGAGACTATAGAGCTTTTTAATATAAAGCCTTAAAAATCTTTTTACAGGCATTAATTCATGAATGTGCTCTTTCCATATCAGTTTAGGTAGTAAAGAATGTCCATAATTATATGTTATTATCATATCATAATCGGGGTTCATTTTACAGATGAGAAAGCTGAGGCTCAGAGAAGTTACATGTCTTTCCCATCATCATGCAGCTTTTATTATAGCAGGGCTTAAAGGTATTATAACTACTTCCAGTAAAACTTCAGGAAATAACTATAATTAATTTTACTAGAGTCGTCTTTGTGCCCAGAGTAATTAGATCAGGAAGTTTCCTTAAAACTGAAATGTTTTACAGAGAATCTTTCTTTATAGTGATTTTTTTCACAAGAGCGACACAGAGTTCATGACACTGTAGTAGGTCCTTAGAGGAGTGCTTAAACACACACACACACACACACACACACAGACATGCTAGTTAATCACTCTTTAAAAATAAATTCTTTTTATTATTTTGGATTTCAGTTTTCTGACATTAAGTAAAGCAGGTCAGCAGGTCAAAACAGTTCATCATTTTTTTCATTCTTCCAGTTTCTGTCAATTAAGTACTCATTATTTTTATTTTAAATGCCTATTCTATGCTAAAAAGAGTTTTGGAGGAAACCTCATCTTGTGGATTTTGGCTGTCATTCCTGATTATATCTGCTGACATAACTTCAGTTAAGGCATTTTGGTTTCATGTTGTCCTATAAAATAAAGTTGTGGCTATTTAATTAAGAAAGGGGTGGGTTTTTATCTCAGCAGTTTATCAATCTCTTATTTTATTATAAAACTCTAGGCTTTACCAAGTGGTAAAAATAAGAGAGGGCTGGGGGACAGACAGACCTCTAGATCGACAACTTTCTGGAAAAGGCTATGAATCATATCTCCTAGTCAGTCCCTGCTCAGCAAAATTCCAGCAGCCTGCCCTTAGAGTTTTTCCAAAAGTGTTGAAGAGTCCATGTGTTTACATTGGACTTTGTTATGAGCGAAGAAAATACTATTCATATATTTTTAAAATGCACATGGCAACTTTTGTTCTTCAAACCAGTTGTTCAGACAAAAAGGCTCCACTTAAAACTGGAAATGGGATTTATTGCCACCAAGACCAGTGTTAAATTATTCAGACATCAGAACAAAAAAAAAGGTCAAGAATCTGATAAAACACCTGGAGATTGGTTCTTCAGGAGTCATACATATTCAACTGTATTGTTATTATCACTTCTTCCTAAATTGCACCCAAAGAAATATATATGATAGAATATGATCAAATGGTTTCTTAAACAAGGAGAGAGACATGCAAAAGAAACTTCTAGCCCATTTATAAATGCAGTTAACTCTGGAAGTGAAGACAAGCAATATATTCAGAATAAACATGATTCTTACCATCTGAGATTGACTCCTAGGACATCCATTGATATCTTCAACTTTTTCATTTGCTAAAGCCAAGAAATAAAATAAAAGAGAGAAAAAAAGAACGACATGCTTAAGCCATGAAGTGAAACACAAAAAAAGCAGACTAAGAAAAAAAAAAAAAAAACACCAAGCAAAATGCTGGTGCTACATTCACTCTGCCTCCTAAGCCGTGTACAAGAAGACACTCTTGTTAGCAGCGCCAGGTCCATATGCACAAATCAGGCAAATAAAAAAAAAAAAGTGAGTGAGAAGGAAGTTGCTGCTAATTCCTTAGCTTGTGCCAAATGACTGCTGGCATGAAACCTTTCACAATTGTCCCTGCTGGATCAGGATATAGTTTCAAGGAATCTCAGAGTGTATGAGTTGCTCCAGCTAACGAAATGCACACATGGGAGACATATGGTTTAATGAAGCATTCATTTCTGACAATTCAGTGTATGTAAAGATACAGTTCTAGCCATTTAAAAGTATGGCCAAACTGCCTTTTTCAAACATTCTCACATAAACATTTTAATTAAATCACGGGGAGAGCTGCATTAATCTCAGAGACACATGGACCAAGTTCCTAAGCATCCAAATTAAATTGTATTTTACCAAAGTGCGTGGGCGCAGAAACTTTCATGGCTTTTCTCAGAGGGCAGATCTTACCAATGATCTGGATGATTTCTGCTAGCAGTACTCCATCTGCAATGTCTTGCTGCAAATCCTTGATCAGCCGCTTGTGGCCTGATTTTGCCAGGTAGTGGTTGGCCCAGTCCGTGTAAATCTGTTGAACAGAGGGAGGGAAGAAGTGAGATGGGACGAGGGAAAAGAGAGGCAATAAAAATGCTTAAGACAAATGTTGGATTCAAAGGGAAGTTATTCTGGATCACATTCCAGCTTAAGGAGTCATAGCTCCAAAGGAAATAGTTGTAAAATAATTTTTAAACAGCTCTTTCCCCCACTTATCTCTTGTTTCAAAGGGGGATGACTCACTCTTTTTTCAAAACCCGGGACTAGTCACTTGTGACACAGCAAAACTCCCTTCCTGGATGACTACTGAGGAAGCTCCTGTTTGCAAATCAGTTTGAGTTTTTACTCTCTTGCCCCTGGTTCTATCATATTGAAAATAATCTGCCTGTCCTTGTAAAAGGAAGCCACCTGGATTGATTTACACCAGAATCTTACTATAAAAATGTGTTTCTCTGAGAAGACTTTATTAAATTTGTCATGTGAGATACTGTATGTGACAATATTTTGGCATCATTTTATGAAATAATTGCAAATGCCTAAGCTATTTTATTTGAACTGTCATATCCCATTTCAGCCTCTTGAAATGCATTTATATAAGAGAATAGAGGAAGCAAATGCAGTTATTACATAGAAATTATAATACAGAATCGAGGAGCAGATTATGAGCCATAAGGTTGGCAATCTACATAAAGTAGAGGTGTCTCTCCAATAACAGATTATGATAGAAGAAAAAACTGAAACTGTTCAAAAACTTCACAAAAATAAAATGTTACTAATTTTTCAAATGTTATAGGCACTTACTGATGTAATGTAATCTAAATGTAAGGAAATAAATAAGACTTTAATTTCATGAACGGCTCATATGGACATATTAATACATTTATTACAAGGCAGACTATAATATGTGATATGATAGAAGAATGCAAAATTTGAAGTGAGAATAGAGGAGGACAATTAACTGAGAAATATACACATAAAAATGTGTTATAGAAGCACTGGAATTAGAACTGGAAACATAATAGAACCTAAAGATAGGAAGTGAAGGAAAGGGCTTTCCCCACAGAGGGGACAAGATACAGAAAGGCAGAGGAAAAAAGGAATCAAGGGCACAGTTGTAAATTATATAATTAAGGCAGGACGCCTGAAATTGTGACAAATTAGATTGGAAAGGTAAATTGAGCCTTGTAGTCATGAGCACTGAGTGCCAAGCAAAATGTAAAAAAATGCTTTTTTAATTTCTAACAAAACTAATACATTTTTTGTAAAAATAAAATAAAATAGCAGTGTAGAAACTGAGAAATGGAGGTTTCCCCACAACTTGCAACCCCACCCACTTTTGAATAACTTGGTATAAATAGTTCTAGAATTTTTTCTACGCCTACACACTTCACCACATGACACAATATTACACACACATACACATACTCATGATAGAATGCGTAAGCAAATCTAGCTCAATTTTACTTATCACTGCATTTTTCAGTTTTTTATGTAACAGTATTTTAACACTTCTAAAACCATTTTGCATATATTTTCTCATTATTTTTGATGTAAATTATACATAATATCAATCCCCTGTTGAAGGATATTTAATTTTTTTTAAATGTTTCCACTGCATCTAAATTTGTAAGATACATCTTATACATGTATCTTGGCACATTCATATACTCGTATTTTTTACAGGACCAAAACCTAAAAGTGGGACCACTAAATTTTTTTAATGTATCCTAGGTACAAACATTCCAAAATACAACATAGAAGAAAAAGAGGGTGTTTCTTTATTTTAGAAAATACAAAGTGGCATCTTAATGCATATGTAGTGGTATTAAGTGTCCTGAAAGATATAAATAATTTGAAGCATCCTGTTGCATAAGAAAAACATATATGACAGCAACACTACATCTTTCTCCATGTTCATGATCTTCTTTATACTGAAGATATTAAAGTGTGAGAAAAATCACTTGCACAACTGTCTCCTGAATTAGAAAACAAACACATGATTTCTAGATAAACATTTTTATTTGGTGATCATTTTCCTCAAGATTTTAGTCTGCTTGTGTTATTGTAAAATTTTAATTTTATAAGGATTTATACTGTTTAGAATATAAAAAATTGAGCACTTTCCCTTCATCTACACATCAATCAAACGACAGCATTAATTGTTTGGTTTCTAGTAGAAATTTCAGGGCAAGCCAGGCTTGATTTGTGCCTGTCCCTTAGGCAGCGAGTTATAAGCACCAGTTAATTGACTTTAAAGGATCCACAAAGATGAAGAACATGAGTTCTGTAGTCAAGCAGACCTGGCTTTGAGGCCCAGCAGACTGCTTGCCACCCCTGGGACACTGAACAAGTTGCTTATCCTTTCTAAACCTGATTCCTCATCTGAAAAATAAGGATAATAATAATACTTACATTATAAAATTGTGTTAGGAATAAATAAGATAGCACTTGTAAAGTGCCTGTCACAGAGTTAGCCCTGAAAAAAGGTCTGCTGTTATTATCATTTTATGGCATCTAAGTGTTATTTGCTATGATGGCTTTCCAACAAATATGTATTGATGTTATCATTTTGCAAAGGTTAAAAAATTTGAAAGTATTGGCGGTTGAAGACTGGAGAAACTGTACTCGTTGCTTTCTTACACTACTCACACCTCTGACTCCTGCTATCTAATTCACTGGGGACACAGATCTGTCTGCCATCCAAACTCAGAGGAATGCATCCAATTTTAAGGCTGTGATGTTCTCATCCAGGCCTGCAATGCCGCCATCGTGACACAACCTCCAACAAACTCCATGTTGCATGGATTCCTCATTTTTAATGAAGGCATTAAATTACGGAAAATATATTCATTTAACTTTTATTTAAATATACACAGAATAGAATGTATTAAAAATAAAAACAATAATACTTTTATTTTCCAAATGCATGTCAACAGTGCCTTAGCCTCTATCCAAATCCCTCCTGGGACTCAGGTGAGAAAACAGATGGGAAACCAGCTGGTTGGCTTCAAGACCTTGTTGGGATAGCCTCTGGCTGAGCTCATGAAACATGTTTTCACTTGGTCCAGGATTCCTTCTAGAGGAATCCCAAGCCTGAGTGCTTTGACTCGTCCAGCATCTCTAACACATGAAACTTTGCTCAGATAGTAGCTCTGACTTAGCTGCAATCAGAAAAATCTATTCATACTAAATAAATGAATTTAAAAACTAAGTCCCATGCACTTTATTTACTTACTCTTTCTAACAGACATGTGTAGAAGATACCTGATTCAAGTTAAATCAGTGATTTTCAAAGGGTTATAATCTAGATTAGGAAATACAAAACAATTACAAAGCAACTTATACATATATTTAAAATTAAGTATATATAAACTTATATTTTCCTGTCTTTTAAAAAATAAAATATTAAATTTAAAAAAGTGGACATATGAACTGTGTCTTTAAGGAGACAGTTTTCAAGCAAAGGACACATGGTAAATAAATATATATATTTAAAACTCATCAATAAACTTTCTGTAATAACCTGATGAGAGAAGATACAAACAACCTTGTCAATCATCATTAGAATCTGTTGTTCAAATAAACACAACAGAATGGTGAAATCATGTCCGGATTTTGGATCTGAGCTCCAAAGTTGCCCTTGATTCATTCCCATAAAAATAAACACAGCATTTAACCTCTTAGCCTCAGTTGAATGAGTGAAATGTGTGGTACTTATTTTGTAGGATTATGGTATGAATTATAGTTTGTTTTTTTTTTAGTGAAGAAACTGATATAATTGGAAATAATACCATATCAATCATAAATCAATATTTGGTATTTTCTACAGGGTCATTGAGTGTTTAAGTCATCAAGGTTGTGACCAAAGCTTTAAATATCATTTACCCTAAAACACCTGCAGAAAGCTGGCTTCAGATGTTTAAACTGCAATATTATGAATATAAATGTCATTTCATGTAATAATTATATTTCAGTTAATTCAGAAGAATTAATGAGATTACATTTACCAAAGTGCTACTTAGAAACTCTAGCACAGTTGTATGTTTAATAATGCATTTACAGTAATTTAAAATAATAGAAATTAAAGGCACCATGGCATACTTTATATTTCATATTTATCAGCATGGGTTTTAGGGCCTATTATGCAACAGTAGGTATTCTTTAAGGAACAGTCTATATGGTTGGAATTTCTGCTCTGCCACTCAATATCCATGTGGATACCGACTGAACATTTATCTCCTCTCAGTGTAAGATTTTTCTCATCTGTAAAATGGCAATAATAGTATTACCTATTAATGGGATTATTGTGAGGAGTTAATAAATTTATACTTTTGGAACATGGCCTTTCACTTACTAAATATTTGTTAAATGTCAAGTAGTATTATTAGTTCACATTTTCATATTTACATTAATCATAATTGGTTTATTAGCATTATAAAACAGTATCTTTGTCAAATCCTTAAATCTTAGCTGTCCACCCAAAGGTAGTTGACCTAACTAATTAAGGAAAACTGCTGCAAGTTGTAATGATCTCTTAATTATTTGATCCTATAATATTTCTTTTACAGTGCTAATTTTTAAATTATAAAATAATAGGGTCAAATAGAAGGCAATATTCCTGATTTCAAGCTATACTATAAAGCTATGGTCATCAAAACAATATGGTACTAGCATAACAACAGATAACTAGACCAATGGAACAGAAGTGAGAGCCTAGAAATAAAACCATGCATATATAATCAACAAATATTTGACAAAAGAGCTAAGAGCACTCAATGGAGAAAAGACAGTCACTTCAATAAATGCTGCTGAGATAATTAGATAGTCACATGTGAAAGAATGAAACTGGACCCATATCTTATTCCACTTTAAAAAAATTAACTCAAAATGGATTAAGACTTGAAACAATGAAACCCCGAGAAACAAACACAGGAATAAATTCCTTGACATGGGTCTTGGGAATGAAGTTTTGGATATGACATCTAAAGCACAAGAAACAAAACAAAACAAAAAACAAGTGGGACTACACCAAAC